AGGTATCCATATTTAAAATAGACGAGTCTCAGGTTTCGCATCTTTTGAAGCTAAATGATTTTTTTTTCATTCTCGTTGTAGATATTTAACAATGTATGTATAATATACCAGTTGAAGTACTATATTGTTTATGTACATACTGTACAAGTTTAACAAGAAAATATACTGTACACAATGTAAATACGAAAATAGTTAAATTATTAACAAAGCGAGATATTTTTGTATCGTTCTTATATTATATAGTTGTTGTTCTAAACCATTGTTATAAGTATTGTTCGGCGAATAATTTTGATTACCGTTCATCGAATTTCCACAGTTCGTTCGTTAAATCAAGAAGTCGCGAGTGTTACTGTTAATTAGCGGGACTGGTAATTGATTAATTTTAATTAACTATTGGGATAGTGTTCGGACTGACATTGTTTGAGGCTACGAATATGATGAGTATGTTCCATGATAGCTTTTTAGGTTTCTGTTTGGAGGTTTCTTCGAAGTTTGGATTTCGCTAATTACGGGGTCTTTCGAAATGAGTGGAAGTTGAGATATGAAGAACTTTGTGGTTTGGAAAGTGTTTCAATGCCAGCTTTTCGGTTCGGTCATTTCAGAATAGTAGAAACATCCCTAATTTGAATTAAAACTTGTAAAAACTTGGTATTTTTGAGTTCGAAATCGATTTTGATGAAGAAAAATTTGTTCGATTTTTAACCTATAGAATAAAATGAGTTTTAGATGAATTGTAAATTGACAGAAACTTTTTGGAATATTGATAGAGTTGAGTAAAATGGTAGGTGTGACTTGTGTTCAACATATTATTGATTATTCTTATAAGAATAATGATAGTTCATTCATCTTTCACATGTACATATACATGTTTAAAAATAATCGTTGATGGCAAACTTTTTGTAAAATTCTTCAAAGTGCATACAACAACAATGCAGTAAACTGCAATAAAAAAATTAATGAAAAATATAGCCAGAATAGTAACTAATCTCTTTGTGAAAATCCTTCTAAGTTATAATATCTTGCTTCCTAATTTTAGCCTTGTAAAGATAATAAACACTTTTTTCCTGAGGTAATCTTCGACGGCAAATGTTTTGGGGTAAATTTTACAAGACAATAGTTTCTTGTTTATGAAAATACTCCACATCAGTGTGACCAATAATAAATATAATTCTGGATATAGGATAGGGAAAACACCTTTTGTCTAATTTCTTCTAAGATTTTTTATTTGTTTACGTTTACTATACCATTTTCAAGTAAATTGATGGAGATTGACAAACAAATCCTTAAATATACAATGATATGGTCAATACCCTTTATAGATACCTGCAATAGGTACCTGAAGTAACAAAAATGTTACCTGATTTATCAACACCTTATCTGAGATACCAGGACAATCATGATACATCAAAATTAGGGACTATTGATCTAAAAACACAACTTGTGGATTGCTCCAAATACCAATCGATCTTAAACTAGTTGCCAAAATTCACAAATTCAAAAGGGGGGAGCTGCATGTTTCTAATTGTTCATTGAGGTTTTGAAATTTGGGTTTTCATTCAATTAATTTATTCCCAATTCTCCAAACAAATTAATCTCCTTTTTCTTACTGCTTGTATGGAGAATTTTCATTTTTCTTTATGTATTGCGTGGTTTGTTTTTTGTAGATGTCTATATTATTCCCTATCCTATATTCAATATTAATTTCTAAAAAATAAATAGTTCGTCAATTGAACAAGCTGAAAAACTTTTTATTTTTGCTTGAATTTTTCTGAAACTATATTAATCTTCATACATTCGTCATATTCATCTCGTAGCAAACCTAATCTGTCCTCTATAATTTAATATTTTCAGATTCCATTGTGTCAGAAACTATTTTAAAGGTTTGTTTGTTGTGTATTGTAGGTTCATACGATTGTCATGTATTCTAGAAATGCGACGTCTATAACTATATTGAAACCTATATACCACGACTTACATACTCGGAATATAGCTATGACACATTAATTTCCAGCTGTGAAAATGTACAAACTATGTTGAGTTGATTTCCACCTATCATACACAGCACTCAGTATAAAATGTATGTTAATGTATGTTCTTGCCACATCAGCCTATTACCTTTGTCTGGGATTGATGATGAAAATTGTGGATAATACTAGAGTTATTTTCTTTGTTTTTCATAGAAAAGAAAAATATTTTCGATGACGTTGAAGATCAGAACAAGCCTGAGTTTGAAAGAAAGAAAAATCCGAATATGATTTTGTGCATATGGCTTCATAACACTTGTTTCGGAAGACCCTGTATATGTTTTTCCAACTTCTTGAAGACCTTCGCTTGCATGTCATTTTAACGATGATTTAACGTATCAAACGTGAGACAAAATTCGACACAAAAAAAAGTTGTTTAAGGTAGTCTCAGTACGCCAAAACTTCATTTCGAATATCACCAGATAAGGTTGTTATCTCGTGAAACGTCACTTATTTCGATTGAAAGTGCGTAATAAAGATTGTGATTTCATTATTTCTAGAAAAATGTGTGGTACAATACTACCTTAGTATTTTGTGATAACTATGACTCATCACTTGTGAAACTTGTTTTATCACAATCTAGCTTCAGATATACGGAGTGTTTATTAAACATGTGGCAAACATTTGGTGTCAAAAAAGCAGCGGCTTCTCCATTCCCAATCGATTTCATTTCCTTTAAAGTTTTTTGTATACTGCTTAAACTTACGCCAGCTCTTTCTCGAACTTTTTAAAAGTCCTTTATATGTTTATTTTCTGTCCCTTCTCGTTGCATAAAAAAATTACATTGGCTATAATTTCCCTCGTTTGACTTGTAGCACTTTACGGTTTAGGTTTGATTTAAACTCAATCCTGGTTAAGTTACAACACTCAAATTGTACTATTTACGCTTTATTTCTGCTCGGGCTGTACACTCTACACTCGATTAACCCGCGATGCCCACTTCACAACAGACAAATTCGACTGACTTTGATTTTGAAACTTTTTCCTATTCTTGACAAACTGTACCTATCAACAACATTCCGATTACTACAAACAGCTGCAGACATTCAATTTGAATAGTATGTCTCATTTGTATGTGTCAAATAGGTTGAAACTGATTGACTTTCTCTATTTGACGATCCTGGTGTTTTTGAATGAGTTCGGGAGTCGAAACAAAGCAACCTATCAAAAATCATCAAAGGACAAAATATCCTTAGAATAGTCCAAGGAATAGTCGCTTACATTTCAGCCGCATGTTTAATAAACACCCTGTATTTTAGTTTTGTTCCATCGATTTCAAATAGGGATAGTATCATTTTTAGGTTTCAGAGAAACCGGCATAGTTGAGGAAATAGGTCATAATTGAAATTACACACAAAACTAATGAGAGGAAGTAACATTTTTTTGGGAACTGCAAAACGAATTCATATAAAAATTTAAAGATGCCATTTTTATAAGTGTCAAAGTATGAGAAAAAAAAGGTCTCATCTTGATAAGTATTTGTTCTTGAGGTACGACATCATTGTAGTTTTTTTCAATTTCTACTCGATAAAAATCTAATAATATTAACATATTCCTGTCACATGAGCAGAAAAAAACAGTGCAATGTACATTACACCGTAACAGTTGGGCTGAAAAATTAGTAAGCTAACATAGTAGGCTTCCTCTTATTCAGAGGAATCGGGCAATTTTCGGATATGCAATTGGTTAGTACCTCGTCCACTAGATGGAGTGACATTTTGTGATGTTCGCTCCAACTTTGGAAGAGGAATTAAATACTCTGAAAAAATTCCGATTTTCAATTATGGAATATCATTGGACTTTAGGTCGATGATGGCCACTATCTTGCACTGATGAGTGGCTAATGAGCCCGAAACCGGTCTGCAAGTGTGCCCGTTCCAAAATTGAAGGTCGACTCTTTCAGTTGTATTGCTAATTGCATATGCAGGAAATTTCTGAGAAGGTACCTACACTGACGCTTGTCGGATATAATCCAACGCCCTTCGTGGTATTAGCCAGGGGAGTAGTTGTTTTCTGATAGGCGTCAGTCTATTCAACCTACTGCGTAGGTATATTCGAGACTGGCTTGAACGTTCAAAAATCATTTCAATAGATTTGATATTTTATTTGATATATCATCAACACTTGATACGTTTTGAAAATTTCATCAAAAAGTCTTCACCAGAAACATTTTGAAGGCTTCTAAAAATACGTTGCAGTCTGCTCTTGTGAAAAACGTTTTGTTTTATAACCTGAAACTGAAATTAACCTACGAACAAAAATTGTTCCTTCGCTGTTAACTCACTCAAGATGTATGTTTAGGTAGCCCGTAAGTTGGCCATGGTTGAAGCCGATTTGGAGCGCGCAGAAGAACGTGCTGAAGCCGGTGAATCGTAGGTTTCGGTTTTATACTGAGTGTTTATGAAATTTCCCAGCATGCAGTTTTTCGGAGACTTGTTTGAAGTGTTTTTGAATGATTTGTTCGATGTTTTTCCTTGGATTTCTTCGCAGGAAATGCGGCTGAGCTATATGTTTTTATATTTATCTTTTTTTTGTGTTCTTCAAGGAAACATCAATGTGCCCTGCTATTCATAAACGACAGCCCGAGTGAAAATGGGTAATAAGTATTTTGACATTGGCATAATTTGAATCTTGGATAAGATAAACTGGTTGAATAATCGGCATAGAAAGAATTATCTGGATGACCTTCAAGCGATCTATTGTAATAGTACGCAACGTCAACTCCTCATAAGGCTCGAGAATAACTTGTCTTTCTAAGGTCACTATTTAACCTAATTTCGATACACCGGTACTCGTATACGGGGTGGAATATTTGAGAAAATTCCTCATCAAATGATAGTGAAGGAACTTTTCCGTTTATCATTACCAGGAATGTCTATTTTATCACCAAATGCCGTGGCACATTGTTGTTTCTTGTGGATGAGCAGTTTTTGTCGTGTTTTTTCAATGCTTGCTGCATGATTGCAATGTTGCCAGGTCGCCCGAAAATTGGTGTTGATGGAGCAGGATCTGGAAAGGGCAGAAGAAAGGGCCGAACAAAGTGACAGGTAGGGAGCTGTGCTTTGCAATTTTACAATTCTTTTTACAGCAGAATTGGAAAGGAAATGAGGTATTACGTAATACTAAAGTGGTATTTTCATTTCCCGGTTTTAAGTATTTAATGTGAATATTTATTTTTCGACACTTCACAACTGCCAAATTATTTTTTTCATTTTACGTTACCCCAAACAAAATCATCTCTCCGAATTATTATTATCAAACCAAAATCTTTTCTCAAACTTGATATCTATTGTATTATCATTATTAAATTCTGAAAAATTGCAGACATAACTGACCACGATCGATTGAAATATAATTTGTTGGTAACAAATAAATTTTCTGATTCATCAAAGATGAGATGTATTGTGTATCATGAAACGAGTTGATCTAGTTTGGCCAACATACTTTCACTTCGCTTTTTGATGTCTTCACTGTTGAATATATAGTTTCCATACATTGTAGTGTTCATTTTTCCGTTTATTGGGTTGCTCGAAAGTTTCTTAAGTTTTATACCTTCATATTTCCAAGTTCTCGTTTTAATTTATGATGTTGATCGTTTTGAATCGTTTTTCCGGGAAGGTGGAAAAACATTCTCAGGAATAATAACATTCAAAAGAAAGTCTAGTCAACGCAATTTTTAAATGATATAAACCATTCAGTAAAAAAACTTCACGATGGACGGACAAAATTTAAATGTATTTTAATCAGAGGTAGCCATTTGAAATTTTGAAAAAGTATTGACACTTTCTCTCTAGGAAAAGTTCCACAAGAGAGAAAAAGAAGTCTCAAAAACAATATGAAAACTAATTCAGATTAAACTCACTTTTGGTGTTTTCATCTCCAGTTGGAAATGGAAAACTTACTCAGAGAGGGGACACACAACTTTTCTGGCAAATACTCCAAATGATATTGAATTATATGAAAATTATATTGAAACGTTTCCAAAAGGGTACTCCTTTCAATTTAAATAAATTATTGTACTTTATACCACGAGAAACCTAACCAAACTCCCTTTTTTGAACCTCAGTTAAAGAGAACTAAGAAATATTTGCATTGCATACCTTACGTAAATTTATAAACAATATAAAACAAAATGTCAATCTGAAATGACAGTACTTCATTATAACAGTTTACTCAAATCTAGGAAATATTAATAATGAGGCTAGTTCTGTAAGTGGATAATAATGACAAAATAAGTTTACAAGATTACAATATAAAGTAGGTATTGTATTAAAGTCTGTGTAGAAAAGTCTGTCCCAGATCTAATCGTTTGTTATAGAAAATATATTTTCTGTTCAGAACCTACTGGCCCGTTTTTAAGTGACAATTTTGTAGGAATTGAAATTACCACATATTCGTAATGCTTATTTTTAGACCTTTATGCATGCTAATGGACAAATTGAATTTATACTCTGGAATAAATTGAGATCGCCTGTTCTACGTTTATCACTCTTATCAGTATTAAAACCACGGGTATAGGAATTGAGGTGAAAAACATTTTTTTAGGTTAGTGATGTAATTTGAATTGGCCAAAGGGCGTGGCAAAAATCCATTATATATGGTTGATTAGCGTGTTCATTGGGCATAATACCGGTAGGGTTATTGTGAAGTTGTTCTTAGAGAGGAAGGCTCTAAGTTTACGTGAAAAAAATTGTTTCATTAAGAAATATGAAAAAAAAACAAATGTTTGGTGGTCATTCCACCAGATAGAGGAAAGTTCCAATTTTCAATTTGTGTTGCGAATTGGATAATAAATTATTGTTCTTTGAATAAAAATCATCAATTCCTTCGACCTACCTATTGTCAGTCTACAATAACAGGGAAACGTGATTGTGTTTTATTTATTTCGCTACTTTGATGAAAGCCATAAAAATTGATTCAAAGTGTTATAGTAATGCTAATGATAATAATAATTTATCAACTCTTCCCTTGACATTATATTTTTTATGTAGTGCAGGCGATCTTTGTGTATTTTACCATTGTACAAATAAAAATTAATTCTGATTTTCTATAATGAACTCTTTCAGCAAAATCGTGGAACTTGAAGAAGAACTTCGCGTTGTAGGCAACAACTTGAAATCCCTCGAAGTCTCCGAAGAGAAGGTGAGAAATTTTCCATTTGACTTTCTTATAATGCATTTACTTTCAGAACAAATCTTCGTCAGTATTAAAATTTGTTATTGAAACATATGTTATCTTGAATATACAATTAGAATTCATTGATTTCTAAATGACAACTTTTCTTGAAAACTTTTTTAACGGCGTTTTTCTTCATCAAAACTAGTAGTACCATAACTTGTTTCTGTTTAGTTTCTTAGAAAGTCGTTATTTATAATGCCTTTCATTCGAATCTTGCATTAAAGTGTGTTATTTTAAATACGTTATAATGGTTTTAAAAAAATATCGGTCAGTTCTGTCATATTTTTATAATTTATTGTCACTGTTGGTACTTGTGTATCTGGAGAAACTTACAATGATGTATAGAAATCCTAAGCAATCTATCACTAGGTTGTTTGTAATAATGTGATATTTATATTTGACCCCCATCGAATATCCTAATTGATTTTGATGAAAAAAGTTGATAGATATAGATAGTAGAAACCTTGCGGAATCAACTTTGGGGTTATCTCAAGTTGTAAAAAATTTTTGTTAATAAACGATATCAACTTTAATGAAGGATATAGAGACTAACAAGTAATAAAAGATGGAGATAAAAATTGGGAAGGACCCGAATTCTAACATTTTTCTGATTTTCAGTATTTGATCATTATTTTTTGTGGCTTGATTACCGTATTCTGGTCAATACTGAATCTGTCACTTAGAATACATTTTGTGATACCTTGTGACAGAAATAATAATACTCGTACTATGTATGACTCGCCTAAAAAACAATCATGAGACGATGGGTAATTAGGTTTTAGTGTTCCAAAATATAGCAGAAACTTTCACTTTGATATTTTTGCAACCCCATACCTATACTGAGTGTCTGACAAGAAAACAAAATTGGAAAACATGATAAACAAATGATAGAAAATAGGTTTCAGTATTGGAGTCTTTGCACATTAAATTTGAGTTTTTCACTCGTTCGGACTTCCATTGTCTACTATATAAAATGATTTGAGATCCCTGAAACAACTAAAAAAAAACTGTCATTNGAAACATTGTCAATCACCTTCAAACAAAAATTTGAATTTGGTGTGATTTTTGGTAAATAAAAATTAAATAAATCAGTCCCCCTTCTGTCAAGTGAAACAGTCAAAACGAATATTGTCACGCCTAGCTGAATCTTTTTGTTCTATCAAGTCGGTATCATCTGAAATGTTTTTTTCGTTGATATCCAGAGTTTCGTCAATAAACGATTTACTAAAATACAAGCATTAGAATTCAAGTTTATTTGGTGTGTAACTGGTAACAGTGCCAAACACAAATAAAAATATTTATTTGTATAACAACATAACCATTATTTGTATATATATAAAACCCTCAGGATGTTGGATGACGAAACTTATGACACCATGTATATTTATCTTAGATGAATACAGTTCTGAGGCCCTTCATACCGGGAACACCCAAAAGCGTAACAGTAATAAAAATATGATATTAATAGTTTCGAAAGAAATTCATTATTTTCTCTTTTCCAGTACACTGGATTTTTTTTATTCAACCCCATACTTTCCAAATTCACTTTTTTATAGTTCATCAGTAAGTTTATCGTTTTGATACAATCACTGTCGATAATATTGAACTTAACTGTCCTTCAAGGAGTTTTTTTTTTTTCTATCCATGTTTTTCGAACACTTTTTAATTTTTTTTTTTTTTCACGTTATACTCTATATAATGATTTACCCCTAGGCCAACCAACGCGAGGAGGAATACAAAAACCAAATTAAGAACCTTACCACCCGCCTAAAGGAGGTACAGACGCAGTGTTTCTCTTTAACATTGCTCCATTAACCTCTGGCAGTTTTTTATGTTTTTTTTTTGTTTTAGCATGTAGCCAAACTATAGTTTTTATGATTGTGCAGATGTCGTGACGTTCTAATGTTTTCTTTTTTTTTAACTAACATAGGCGACGCGCAAAGAAGACGAGTATTCTGTTACGTTAAAACAGGTGGAACAGCAATTGAGAGAGGTAATTTTTTAGGGAAAAGAAGGATTCGGAGGAATGTGTATGTCTAGGTTCTAGGTTATGTCTGCTGTGTAGCTCCCCTTCTGTGTACATTCTTCACCCCGCCACTGATATCTTTCGGGCAATAGTGGTACATACTTTTTTCATTCGACACTTTCGTGTCGTTTCTCTGTAACTTTTCTTCTGTATATTTCGCATGTATACATTTTGTATATATTGTTTATCTAGGCTGCTGTCACGAGAGAGTACAGTGAAGACAAAATCCGTAGCATCTCTGATAAATTGCGTGAAGTAAGTTGGTTTTGGAATGTTGGAACTCTTGACGTCGAGATATTTTCCAAAAAAAAAAATGCGTGCCCGATCCTCGAAATTGGAACGGAAAAAGTAAAATTTCTAAATTAGTACCTCCTTTTTTTGTTTTATCAGTTCTCACATTCGCATTTTTTTTTTTTGGAAAATATAGTGGACGTTTATATATGAGCAAATTTAAATTCCGTTTTTGATATTTATCTCTTAGGAATGTATACAAAGTAATGCATTGAGAGTGTTACAAGTGATTGCTTGAAAGTGTGACTTTTTTAAGTCTGTACAGGGTGCAACAAAAGTTTCAGGACGTCAAATATCTCCTTTGACAAAACCATTCAATCAAATTAAATTTTCGATTTGCTGACTATTGATATCGCAACAATGTCCTGATATATGAAAAAAAGCTTTTAAAAAATTTCACAGAAAATATTCCAATGTAATTAAATCTGGTTATCTTGCTGACCATTCAATAGATCTGCATCTGCCAGTCTACCGAATAGGTCATGCAACTGCTTAGGGATCAAAAATATTTTTTTCGAACATTGTCAGTTTTCAATTAGGTGTTCTCTTCTGAAAGTTGGGTTTTTCCCAAAAATGAAAACGATATTTCGTACTGTTGGCAGTGTCACTATTTTTCGGGTTCGAAGGCCGTGGATTTTTGCTGGCGTGAACCTTTTTACAGACCACTTGAACGCTCAACACCCTAGCATCAAGTTTACCATGAAAGCTGAACAGAAGCGGCGGATAGCATTCTTAAATGTACTAACCGAACGATGTGGTGTTAGACTAACCCATAAAGTGTACCGAGAACCTACGCACACGGATAGGTATAGTCGAAGTAAACGATATTGTGCACACCTAAAATTGGCGGCATTCTCAAAGGCCAAAAAACCAATACATGAAAATGAACCGGCTACTAACCGAGTTTTATGATTGGCTGAAGAGTTATAAAATTAAATTTGAAGTCATGTTACCGTGACGAATAGAAATCGGGGAATGCGGAGATGGTTATCGCCGTCGTGTCGTATCAGGAACTGATCGCGATTTGAGTATTGAAATTCGATATTGGTGCAGTTATAATAACTTATTATAACGTGGCGTATTTGGACAAGTACTAATAGTAATAACGAGTTTGATAACAACGCAGACTTTTTCCAGTGTAGTGATATCAATAGCGAAGAATGCGAAAAAGAGATACTAGTGAATAAGATTCGAATGCATTTGAATATTGAAACACAGAGGGTATGTTTCAATGTATATAAGAATCTACATCTCAAGTTTGGTTTTGAGGGATACAAACTATTACAAGCAACATCAGATTTGGCCGAAATTTTTTTCTCAACTGTACGTTAAATGGTCAAAAACAAACCTTATGAACTCAAGACGCGATGTGATACGGGATTACCAAAACCTTCAGATGTTCATCTAATAAAATCATTGAAAAAAACAATATACGACTATTACAAAAGCAATGAGATTCCTACAACTGAAATCATAAGGAAGAAATTGAATACTTCTGGCCATGACAAAACTCTTCAGAATTGTATAAAAAAACTAGGATTTAGATTTTAAATAACAAACAAACGTCAAGCAGTTATGGAAAGCAGAAAAATAGTGGAATTGCCTAACAAATACTGAGAAGAAATAACTAAATATAGACAAGAACAACGGCATATTTTCTATTTGGACGAAACTTGGTATGACACTCACGACACAGTTACGAAAGGCTGGACTGATGGTTCGAGAATGCGGACGCCTAACATGCCTGCAAACAAAGGATCGCGACTAAGCATTGTGCATTGCAGTGGAAGTAAAAGATGGGTCCCAAACTCTTTGAAATTATGTGGGAAAAACTCGAGGACTGCAATGTTGACTATCATAAGAACATGGAAGTTAATATTTTCGAGAAAAGGTTTGAAAATACATTGATCCCAAATTTGGATGCGAATAGTGTGATTGTTCTTGACAGCGCTTCCTATCAAACGCTTCCTATCATTCGCGACAGCTCATTGAAGTACCGAATAAAAATTCGAGGAAAGATGAAATACAAAGTTTTTTAATGGATAACAATTTGTTTTACATACAGAAACATTTGAAAAAGTGTATGCCGTTGAGAGTATTGCTGAAAAGTATGGACACACCATATAGATACTTCCCCGTATTTTTGTGTTTTCAATCCCATCTGGTCGATTTGGAGAAACGGTTTTCAAACCCACCGAAAAGATACAACATAGCCTCAGGTCGGCTAAAGACAAAAGGGACTCGCTATCAGCAGCAGGTGTTGTCGCAAACCGTGCACTTGTGAGAAGGTATACTTCGGAACCACCAAAAGATATATAGGAACAAATCCGCAATTTACCTAAGCCAGATACACCTATCCAGTCATCGGAATTATCAACTGAGGATGTATAAACTTCTGAGGAAGCTAAACACTCGCGCCAGGTAAATGTCAGGAATAGATACAAAAATCCACGTCCTTCAAACCCAAGAAATAATGACACATTATTTTTCATTCACAAGTCACTTTTTATTTATTTTTGATGATGTTTATTTTCAATAGTTGAACTCCATTCATCCACTTCAATTTATGTAGACAATTGAATTCTGTTCTGATGTATTTCTCTTTTTCTTTTACCCATACTTCTTTCATTTTCACCATACTAGTTTTTTATATCAATTCGAAATGTATAATTGTAGCAAAATAATTGTTGAATCTTCACTTGAAACGCTGTTAGTAGATCACTCTGTATACACTTTATATCCTTTATGATACATTATGCATCGGTATGAATTGAGAGTAATTTTGAAAATCACCATACATTTTGGTCGGCTCAGACATTTGCTGATGCTTCATATAAATACAACGCAAGTCCATCCCCAAAAACTGACTCCATGCCCCTTGCACCTCCACTGTATCTACCCCCTCATTTTCATCAAACCTTCAGTCTCAGCTTTTATCACCGCCTCTTGTAAGCTATTGGTGAAACCGATCACTCTAGTAATTTTTAGGTTGCACTATATTTTCACTATGAATTTTGTAAGTATTCGGTGTTTCGTGTTTGTTTCTTGCATGTTTGTTTTTTAGAGTTGTATAATTTCAGTTGCGAAATATTTTTGCTTTGCTGAAACAATAGTAGATAGTTGAATATTTGTTATTCGTGATTGTAGTAACGCTTGGGAATGCAATTTTGGTTTGTGTACTACTGGAAAGGTTTCATTTTTCCTCGATGACCCAGTAAACTTTCAGTTTTATATTTATTGAAAAAAAATTCAGGTGTTCTTGAACGATTGAAAAATATTCGTTTTGTTGCTCTTATGTAACAGTTGTGGCAAGCTTCACTTTGATTATCAACCTTGCAAACATAAAAGATCATATAGTTTGTTGAAAGTGCAGAAATCGATGTGAAAGAAGTCATCAAATTGTTACATTCATAGATTTTATTTATTTAAAAAAGTTCTTTTATTTGCCTGATGAGGTAGTCGAGTAGTCAAGGTGCAAGATTCCCACCGATACCTGCGACAACCTTCCCATATGAGGGTTTTTGCTCGTCAGCTACACCTGACGATGCCTTAGATTCAGCCGTGCAGGGTTTTTTCGCCTCTGGTTTTGGTAAATCATCACTTGAGCGAAAACGTATGCTAACCTGCTCATGGGGGGTTTGTTCCTCCACCTGAGACAAATTCTGCGTAAGCCGCTCAAGAATTTGGTGCAAGGCGGTTTCATAAGGTACCCCGCTCTCGAGGAGACGACTCAGTCTTTTTTTTTAGGTTCAAGTAGATGAACAAATATAGTTGTGTGGCACAGGAAATTCAACTAACAGAAGCAAACGGTTACGACAATAACGATGAAACGATAACGAATAACGCACGCAAAACGATTGAAAACGCACGCAAAACGATCGAAACGCACCATTTCGCAATCGAAACAGTGTGTTACGATCGGGCGATTTGCGTGCGATTTCGACCGTTTTCCGTACGTTTTCGACCGTTTTCCGTACGTTTTCGATCGTTTTGCGTGAGTTTTCGACCGTTTTGCGTGCATTTTCGATCGTTTTGCGTGCTTTTTCGATCGTTTTGCGTGCTTTTTCGATCGTTTTGCGTGCGTTTTCGATCGTTTTGCGTGCGTTATTCGTTATCGTTTCATCGTTATTGTCGTAACCATTTGCTTCTGTTAGTTGAATTTCCTGTGCCACAGAACTATCTTTGTTCATCTACTGGTTCAGTTATGGGATCAGGAGTTGGAGAGTTGAGAAGCTCTCGCTCCTGATCTAAATTTACAGCGAAGTCAGTTGGAGTCGTAAGCTTGACATCCATCTCACCTGTAGACCCAGCGTCAGAAAGAATTTTTAAGTTAACTCTGTCCATAAAAGCCCCACGAGTAGCTAGGGAAAGAAGATCAATCACGGCAGAGCCCCGCATTACCGTGACAAGGCGATGCTACGACGAGAGGGCGCTCGAAGGTTCCGTAGTGACAGCTGATAGGCTCAGTGTCATTCATCCTCTCGTCACGGATACACACACCTTAGGAATGGGATGCCATTCAATTAGGGAATAACAGAACCACAAGTGATTCTGTCATTCCAGTATCCAGCAGGGCTACGTGGAAGCAGGCTCTGATGGCCGGTTTGCTCAACCCCCACATCCCAAGTCACCTCACAATAGGACTCTGGTGTGATGGTTTGGCCCGGTTGCAGAAAGTTATAGTGAATCACACCAGCCGTTGATCACCATACATAAATCATGGTCTTTTTTTGAAGAGTTTTCGCCTTTGGGAAGTGCCTGGTGTCCAACCACTGTCCTGGATGTATCCTTTAGTCGTAGAGGGTCCACTTTTCATCACACGTGGCGATCAGTTCCAAAAAAGGGTCGTTTTGGTTGCGCAAAATCAAAGAAGAACAGACCACAAAACCTGATAATTTCTATCGATCATTAAAAACGTGGGGAACCTTTTTTCGAGCTTTTTGACCTTTCTAATACGTTTTAAACCATCGAAAACCTCATGGGAGCTGACGCCAGGTTCTTCCGTCATCTCACGCACAGTTTGTGATGGGTCAATCTCCACCAGGGCCCTTAAATCCTTGTCCTGCATTACTGTAGGTCGACCACTTCGG